TGGCCGCACTATAGACGAACGTCGTCTATTTCAGACAGTCGAACTCAGTGAACGAGAAAGCAGTCGAATCAGATAAGGTGGCTTGTCCATACCTTATGTTCGACATATGATATCGCGATACAAAAGGATCATCAACCGGAATCACCACTGGCATTCGTAAGATCACGAACAAACTCTATTCGAGATAGGTAGTCATAGTGTCTTGCTAGAGACCGCCTATGACTTGTATATCCGTAATAGAGATTTCGGGTTATACTGCTATATCGAATGAGTCTACAGGGTCACATACGCAGGGAATGACAAAACGCACGAGAAAACAACGGAAAAATCAAGACGGAAGGGTCTGGAACGGACAGACCAGAAGTCCGAAACGGACGGTCCGCCAGGTCCAGACCCGAAGGTCCAGAACGGACTGTCTGTTCCAGAAGGTCTGGAACGGACGGTCCACTAATGGCAGACCGTCCGTTCCGGGCTTCAGGTTTTTCCAAAATTAAACCGAAATTAGGGTTGAATCACCTTATAAGAAGGAGATTAAAAACCCTAATTGGTGTGGCCGACTTTAGAACTTTTCTACAGACCTTTTGGAAGATCCAAGAGGTTTGAAAAGTGATCGAAGTCTCTTTTTCTCGAAGCACAAAACCGAATAGCAGATTCGGATCCTATCAAAAAAGTTCCAACCGTTGGAATCCATCCCGAGGTATGGATACGTGTAGAGGGCGAGGTATTCTTCCTCCCTTTCGTGAACAGATGAATTCTTCAATTGATACAGGCCCCAAATCGATTGAGGTAAGCGTTCTAACGTTTCTACGAATCATAGAAGCATGGTTCTAGGGTTTTATTAAATTTTTGTTTTACATCCGCTGCGCAAACCCTAAAATCGATCTCTTAGGAATAGGATTCGCTCATGAGATCCCAGGAACCCCAACATAATTGTATAGGTGTGTGTATATATATATTAAGTGTTATAGATATACCGGATCTTAAAGAATATTACGACATATATCGTATAATGGAGATCTTATTAAATCCGGACAATACATATTTAGAAATATTTATTATTATATCTACTTTACTTATTTAATGTAAAACTCTCATCTATTTATATGTTATTTTGAGATTGAATAAAAAAATATCATTCCGTAAATTTCTACATGGTATCAGAGTTTCTGATTTTTTCTAGTTTATTGGTAATTTCATAAAAAAAATGGTGGTTGACAATGAGAGTAAAGATGAAGATGACGATGATATATCGATCCAGTGGTAATATCATTTCGAGTTTTTTTAAGAATAAGAGAGTCATTTTTTTCATTTTAACTTTTCTCTCATAATTTCATATGTTTCAAAAGATTATTCGCATAAACGCAAATCATCTCTCTCTTGCAAAAATTTATTGTCACTAAATGCTTTTGCGTAATTGTCTTTCAATTTCGGACGAATCATAGTTATTCTCGAGATTTCTTTTTTACACTGCGATTGTCATCAGTTTTTTGTTATCATCGTACGATTCTTTTTGCGTGTTGTCAAATTTACAATACTGCAGTTTGTTTGATTTGTTTTCAAGTTATATCTTCTACTTACACAAATTCCAAGGTGATGTGGTTCAAGCGACATGCGTTTGATCATCTTTTCTCCAAGTTTGACGTTTCTTGATTTCCACACTCCAATTTGAAAGATGTTGTTGAGATATATCAGATGAATATTACGAAATATATCGTATAATGGAGATCTTATCAAATCCGGAAAATATATATTTAAAAATATTTATTACTATATCTATTTTACTTATTCAATGTAAAATTTTGATCTATTTATATATTATTTTGAGAGTGAATAAAAAATATTATTCCTCAAATTTTAACATTAAATTCATAAATAAATTCTCAAACCTATTATCTTTACTTCTTTAGAAATCATGTTCTCAAGCATGCATGCACGACTAATTTCGAACACCACTATATAAAATGTACATTACCTTTACCAAAAAAAATGTACATTAACAATTTTAGTCAAAGTAATTGTTACCGTTAGTAATATATACACATATATATATATATATGTATATATGTGTGTATAGTTAAAAAAGGCAACAGCTAAATATATAGGAAAGTACGTGCATAAGTTGCACAGCATACATAAAACACGATAGCAAACACCGAAGTACTTCCCGTGTCTCTTCGTCAAGCACACTACACACACATGTACATTACATGTATATACGTACATAAATACGTACGTACACAGCTACATACAGATTATAACACAAGGAAACTTCATGATCATATGTTGATCTCCAGGTCACTTATCACCATACTGATCTGTTGGTGCAGCTATCTGATCAGTGCTAGAAGTCTGTCCAAGCAAACTGCTTATGGAACGAGCCTTCACCATCCCAAGCTTCACCCTCTTCTTCTTCTTCTTCGCCGTCTCCTCCTCCGACGAGTTTGTCATCTTCATCGTCGAGTTTCTTTCCTTCTTCTTGCCATGCCCGTTTTTCGAACTGGCCGATATGCTCCTTAGCCGTCCTTTCCCCAGATGATGCTCGCACAGTGAATACCCGACGAGGGTTTGCTGGCAACACCTCCATCCTCTCCCATTCACGCGGCTGCACCTTGATCCTACAGCCAACGCACTTCCCCTCGCTTTCTTCCGTCCCTTTGACGCCATGGAACCGAACTTACCTCCATCTTCATCCGCTCCTCCCGGTTTCTTGATCTCTCCCACGCATTTCTTCATCTTCATCTCCATGTTAACGCTCGCCATGGCTTTGTCGTTATCTTCTTCAGAGCTAACCCCTCTTCTCTTCTTCAAAGGAACAACCTTTTGGCCCTCTGGTGCAACCAAGAGAACAAACACGACACATGTAATACGTACCGCCGACAAAACCGTAGTGCTTATTACGATGATCTGCTCGAGTCTTCTTGCTTACCTTGCGATGGAGAGCTTGATTCTCGCGAGGGGTTTCCGACAGCTGTTTCTGGACCCGGATCGACGTTCTTGCTACGCAATAGAAGCAAAGCGGTGCAAGACTATTAGCAAGACAATGAAAGAGATTTATGAGTGCAAAAAATAGAACACGATGTATCGACATGGGGACCATATATATTTAGAAGCATCCCATGCTAATGTGCACCACCGTGAGTTGTATATATCTACCTTGTATTTATACTCGTATATACACGTACGTATACCAAATGAGTATAGGGGACGAGATACAACACACAAAAAGATAATGTAAGCTTGAAGCTACCGAACTGATCCAGATTCATCGCCTCCGGAATAATTGGAAGGAAGACAACAATTAAACATTTACGCATACCTAAACCCGTTTCTTAACTCTCAAAAGTATGAAATTTTAAAATTTTAGCCGTTTTCCTTTACTGGGTTTGCATCAAAATTCCATCTTTTTGTTAAAAGCTTGATTTTTTTTTTGGTTCTTGGAGCGTAAAGTCCATGAAAGGAGGGGGCTTTAAAGGGGAGGAGGAAAAGCAGATAAACGTGATCTTCTCAGATTCACTCACCTGCCCGCTTCATCGCTCTCATCTTCTCCTCCTTCAATCCTTTTATGGCCCTTTGAACAAATCATCAACCCAAAAAAAAAAAATCAGAAGAAGAGATGAAATTTTGTTCCAAGATCTGCAGAGAAATCGAACAGGTCTTTTCCAGTGCAAATCAGGACAGTTGTTTTCACCAGCAAAAGCAAAAGCATGCTCTATATGATCGTACGCAACATAAGTGCACCCAAAAGTTCAATTTTTTCTCCTTCCATGGGGTGAATAATAATAAGAGTAGAGTTCGTTATCTCTTATGGTTCCGTGTTACTCACCGAAGCTGCCTCCTCCTCCTTTGGTTTCTTCCCATCTTCGTCATCATCATGAGCTCTGTGATCGGAGAAACCATAGCCGTCGATGCTCCACCGTCGGATCAACCCATCAGAAAGATCTGACGACGGAGGATGAGGAGGAGCATCGCCTCTACACCCATCGTCCCCCCCGCTGCCGCCGTGGGTGATCGCCGGCGAGCGGTTGGAGTAGAGATCTGAGAGAGGGACAGGTAATAGAGACGACAAAGGAAGAGGGACTTGTCGTTTCCGGATCCTCATGGACGAACACTCTCGCTGGTTAAGATTCCTTCAAAATCTCGTGATTTTTGCACTCGGCGTGTACGGACCCAGATAACCAAAGAAGGAAAATTTAGTGGGAGAGAGAATGAAAAAAAAAAGTTTTTTTTTTTATTTTCTTATGGTTGTGTATTGAGTTTCTTCTCTGGAGCTCATCTCTCTCTCTCTCTCTAACTTTTTTATTTTGTTGCACCCAAAAAGCAAGTAGTAGTAATTGTGAGGAAGAGGCCATAGAGGAGAACGCCAGAGAATAAACCCATTTATTAACATCAGAATTACAAAAATTAAATAAAACGATAGTATTATTAGAACATCATTTAATGTTTTTAACCCTGAAAATATTATGAGAAACTGCAATACATATAATTATACGGCTTTTTATAACATCAAATTCTGGGAAGATTCAACACACTGTCAAGACTAGGGGTGGCCAATTCGGGTTTCGGTTCGGTTATATTCGGGTTCGGTTATTTCGGTTATAGAAAAACTATAACCATTCGGTTTTTATATAAATTTCGGTTCAGTTCGGTTCGGGTTCGGTTCGGTTTTGGTAAAAAGTTCAATTTTCCAAAGAAATTATCGGTTATTCTCTCGATTTTTTCGGTTATTTTTTATTCGGTTTGGTTCGGTTTCGGTTTCGGTTTTTCTGGTTTAAAAAAATTATAACTGTTCGGTTTTGATGTTGGGTTCGATTCGGCTACGGTTATGCCTTATTCGGTTCGATTCGACTCGATTATTCGGTTAATAACCGAAATGGCCACCTCTAGTCAAGACAGTGTTTGGTTTAAGTATGTCGTTGTGGTCTAAAAACCGCCGTGAGTATTAATGTAACAAATAACCTAACAAAATTAAATTTGGATAAATTAACCTATAATTTCTATGTGATTTATATGCAGTAGACCTTGTCATTGAAGAATAATTAATAGATAAAAAGTAAATATAATTTTAAGACTATCCTTTATGTGTGTGTGTATTTATATATCCAAAAAGAAAAGAATATGAAATATGACAGTGATTAAATATAAATAATTTCTTTATTAAATCCTAAAAGGGGGAAAAGAATATGCCGAAGAAGTCCAGCACAGACTAATCATTGGGGGTTTTTCTGTAGTTTAAGTCAATAAATAAATCATTATTAATAAAACAATTTAAGCTAAAATGAAAAAGAAAAATTGTAGTTGGGGAAATAAAAGGTGAATATAGTGAGGAGTGCACGTGGGGAGCACGTGCGAGAATTTACCGGGAGAGAAGGTAGCCGGTGGAAGAAAGAATAGTATCGGACAGGGTACGGACGGTGTGGCTTCTCTCTCCCCTCCCCCTATTGCCAGCCTGGCAGAGAGAGACAAAGTGGGTGGGGAGGTTTTTATCCAAAGTGTGGGAAGAAGGGGTACCTTTGAGTAGGTCCCACTTTAACCAATGGACCCCCTGATTAAGACGGCTTTTTCACTATTCCCCCTCTATTCTTATTCTCTCTTATTTTTACCCCCTATGTTTATATCTATGCATTTAAGTCTTTAATGGTGCGTTATCGCGGGATATGGTTGAATAGGGCATGTAGATTGTTACAGTTTTAGTCTCGAATTTGTGTATGTTTTTTATTGGATCGAGTTAAACTAGATTAGTATTTGTATAGTGAGTTAGAATTATCTAATTAGAAGCTAATCTTATTAGGACATTAACATTAATTCTATTAAGAATATAATTCTATAATAGATATTCATTGTAATTAGTCATTAGCCATTAACGCATTACATAGAATTATCTAAGAAAAATCTCAAAAAAGTCTTAAATTTATCGATTTTCACACAATAAAACCTAAAATTTATTTTTTATCAAATAAAACATCAACTTGATTATTAAATTATAGATAAACTTAAACTTTATAATAGCTGGAGAGAATCTTCGTAAAATACTTGTACTTTTAACTGGTCTCAATTTAATACCTATACTTTTTTAATTACTGAATAATACATGTACAATTGGTTTTTTCCTAAATAAATCGCGTCATGTCATAGCCATGTCAGAAATTAAATAAAAAATTAATATATAATAAATGAATTAATAATAATTAATAAAATAAATAATAAAAATATACATATATATACACATATACATATACACATATATATACATATATATACAACACATACATATATATATACACAATACATACAACACATACATATATACATAAATACATACATAAATATATATACAACACATACATATATATATACACAATACATACATATACATATATATACATAAATACATGTATATACATATATTTATATATATGTATATATATGTAGCATGTATATATACATATGCATATATATATATATACATATATATATATATATATATATATATTTATGTATGTATTTATATATGTATGTGTTTATATGTATGTATGTATATGTATATATACATATATATATATATATGTGTATGTATATATATGTATTGATATATATATTTATATATGTGTGCATGTATTTATATGTATGTATATGTGTATATATATGCATATATATGTGTATATATATGTATATGTATGTATGTATATGTATATATATGTATTGATATATATATGTGTATATGTATATATATGTATTGGTATATATATATATGTGTTTATATGTATGTATATATATGTATATATGTGTGTATGTATATGTTTATATACGTATGTACATATATTTATGTATATGTGTATATATATTTTTTATTATTTATTTTTATGATTTTTTTTATTTAATTAATTAATTATTATTAATTAATTAATTAATTTATTTATTTAATTTCTGACGTGACTATGACATGGCGTGATAATTAGGAGAGATGTTGAGAATTTTGCCGCCAAGATTTCCGTTTGTCTACGTGGCGGTTATTTGACGGTAGAGATTTTTGGTCAGTAATTTAAAAATATGGAATTTATTTCGGAAAAAACCAATTGTATAGATATTATTCGGTAATTAAAAAAGTACAGGTATTAAATTGACACCTGAAAAAAGTACAGGTATTTTACGGCGATTCTCCCTAATAATTATCATTTTTAAATTTATTATTGACGTGTGACGTACTGATATATATCGTGATATGTGTATTATGATGTATCAAATATGGTCAAAGTGTTGACTTGACATATACAGTATATCATATATCATTATTTAAGTTTAAAAATAATAATAACTATAAAATTCAGATTTATGTTCGACTTAAAAAATGAAGTTAAAGTTTTATTCGATAAAAATAAAGTTTAAGTTTTGTTCCGTAAAAAATGATAAGTTTGATGTATTTTTTTGTTTGTTTGAGATTTGTCCAAATCCAATTATTTATGCTACAGATCTTATAATATTTCCCTCGACACAATACATATATAATAAATGCTTTTGTGACGGAACAAAAAAAAAAAAACAGATGTATTATTTCTTCTGCATGCATTCATATTTTTATTTTTGGACCGAAGACTTGTAAGATAACTCATCCTGCAGGTACATCCAAATAAAGGAAATCGGATCCATTCCCATGCCATATATAAGAGTAATTTTTTTAACTACGTGCTCTTGTATTCATGCAATTAAAAGTGGTAATAGAAAACGCTTTTTACGGTGTCTTGTAACCAGAATAAGGAGGGAAACCCAACTGAATTGGCAAGGAACATGAATAATATATCGAGAAATTGAGGGTTCGACTCCTTGCCATTCACCTATCGCTTGTCAGTTACGGCTAATTTACCTCCCACGTGTGTTGCAGGCTCGATTGCGTGTGACAGTGGGGTTTTACTGTCCGCGATACTGTCCAATGCCGTTTTCGTCCGATTCATTAGGTTGAGAGGCGTTGCGTTGTCTGGTGTTCGGCTCCGAAAGACTGTAGGGGAGGTTCCCCACTATACCAAAAAAAAAAAAGATGAGGCGATGAAAACGCAAGACATACATGATAATATGTAATTTTATTATTCGATTTTTTGCATAATAATTCGATCTATGTATTAATTTGTAAAAACTCATACAGCCTCAAGTTCCGCCCTCCTTTTAATATTACGATAACATTTTTTTTATATCCGTCCCGAAAATGAACTTTGATAATGGAAAAATGGGTTTTGTTTATTTATATGAAAATACATCTCACTTAAGTCTTAACCCATAGGTGCTAGCTACCCTTCGACGATAACGGAACCAAAAAGTTTTATAAATAAGACAATAGTAATGTAAATATAATTTCGTAGGGATAAATTTAATTTTATTATAGAGTATTTATCAATTTTATTTAAAATTTATAAAGACTTGTTTGCCCTAAATTAAGTAGGTCCATCTCTACTTTTGGGATGCCCACAAACACAAAATATAAAATCGGCCTAAATTATTTATAAAGACTTGTTTAGAAGATTCGAATCCTTTATTAACCTCAAGATTAGAATGATTTTGTGAAATACACTCTTATATTACATAAATGTATGTATCTAACATGATGATGATGCCCTTTGAAATTTTAATTATAGAACAAAATGAATATAGATACAAGTGAAGCGGCTTTCTTTTTCTTCTTCCTTTCTTATGTATGCACATCGATCATGATGATCATCATGATCATAGTCATCGCCATTTAGAGTAATAACGGGAAAAAAAAAATGAAAAGAGGGACAAAATGTAAATGTTGCACCGATGGGGAGAGGTGGGATGTGGGTTGGCATGTCACATTAAGCTACAATCGACGACGACGACGACGACATATTATTGTTTTTTTTTTTAAAATTATCTTCTGTGTAGGATAGATGGGGACCGGCTTCACGTGCTATCGTACGCTGCTTGCCACGTGGCTTGTTCGCAACTCATTTGTTTTCGGCCCATGGGCCTCGATACGGCCGTGTATACGGAGTCGATGATTACAAATTATTTAATAAATACGGACTGACGTCTCTAACTCTATTTATAGTTATCGTTTCGTTACTATATATATATATATATATATATAGTTTCACTCTATAATCGTTGTCGTAATTCGATCCATAATTATTGATAGTAGCCGTCCGATTAATGTATTCGAGGAGGATTTAGAATTCATTAGCCTAGTCCGAATCGTACAGGATTACTACCTCCTTCTTCCCTCCCTCATGCTCTGAGGCTCCAATTCATTATTCCTCTCACTCGCCGATTGACGAGGTTTGATCGTACGAAAGATGGCGGGTTCCATGACGAGCCCACTCGTTCGCGGCTCAGTGATGAATCGGAGCGCCAGCTGATTCACGAGCTCGGATTTGTTCTCTCTCGTGAGTTGACCGTCAACCAAACTCGTCTGTTCGTTTTTCTATATGTCGTTATTGTTCTCTTCCCGGCTCCGGATTCTTTTGTTACGATTTCCCCAAATTTGTCTCAGTTTTGGTTTTTCTGCGAGAATCTTGTCGAGATTGCCCTCTTGGTAAAGAGCAAGGGCTAGGGTTTTATTCGATCTGGATTCATTAAGATGCGGGTTTCTCTTTATGGAATTTGCGGGATAGGGTTTCTGATTGGGGGTTTCCGATTATGCTGTGCAAAGCAGCTTGGAGATCCGAGTTTTGCTCAGTAATGGAATAAGTAAGGTTGTTCGTCTGGGAAACAATAGAGCTAATTTATTCTGTTTCTAAAGTTTCTGGAGAGGTTGTAATATTGGGTTCCGGAATTCGTGATGAGTGAGGAGATACCGGACACGATGAACCTGGATTTGAACCTGGGTCCTGCTCCTGAGTCAGGTTTACAGCCGACGCCAAATGATGTTGTGAGTTTGGCGGATTGGATCAACGAATCTTCTGAGAGAGCCTCTGAAGCTGTGACAAGGATTAGGACACGACATCGGTCACGTTTCAGACAGCTCAATCTTCCTATACTTGCTGAGACCCAGAGCCTGGCGATAGAACTGAACCAACTGATGGGCAGTTCCGCAAATGGAGCTGCCTTGCAGACTGGCGAGGACAGTATCGCCGCTGAGGCGAGAGGCAACGATGACTCGAAAACGTGCGAGAATGGGAATGGAGTGATAGAGGACAGTTTCTCGGAGAAGAAAGGGGATAACGAGAAGAGCAATGGCAGCGATGGGGCTTTTTTTGACTGTAATATATGTTTGGACTTGGCCAAAGAACCGGTCGTCACTTGTTGTGGCCACCTCTTTTGCTGGCCCTGTCTTTACCAGTGGTTGCAAATCTCAGATGCAAAGGAATGTCCAGTTTGCAAAGGGGAGGTGACCCAGAAAACCGTGACACCGATTTATGGTAGAGGGAACCATAGAAGAGAGTCTGAAGAGAATCCAGATACTAAGATCCCTATGAGACCCCATGCCCGCCGAATTGAGAGTTTGAGGCAGACTCTTCAAAGGTCGCCATTTATCATACCCATGGAAGAGATGATTAGACGTATACAGGGTAGATTCGACAGGGACTCAACCCTAATCCCGGATTTTAGTAACCGCGAAGCGTCAGAAAGAGTGCATGAACGTGCCAGTTCAATTCTTAACCGGTTTATGACATCTAGAGGAATTAGAGGAGAACAGAACTCGGCCAGTGTTGCTGCTGCCGCTGCACCATCAGATGAAATTGATCTCAACCCGAGTGTCGCCCCCGACCTTGAAGGGGAACCCCCGAGGTTCCATCCTCTGTTGATCAGGAGACAGTTGCAATCGCACAGAGTTGCGAGAATCTCACCGTTCTCTTCTGCATTCGGATCAGTGGTCGACGCCTACGTGAGGTATCATCCATTAGGGGGAAACCAAGAGCAGAACCACCCTCCTGTTGTTGTTGATGACAGAGATTCTTTCTCAAGCATTGCAGCTGTTATAAACTCGGAGAGTCAGATCGATGCATTGGAGATCGACTCTATGGCCCTTTCGACCTCGTCTTCGAGAAGGAGGAACGAGAACACTTCGAGGGTTTCGGATGTAGACAGTGTAGATTCTCGTCCGCCGAGGAGGAGGAGGTTGACCTAGAAGAAGACAACGCGAGCTTTCCATTTATCCGCAGCAAGTTTCGCCTTGGTGACACAGACGTTAGCAGACTTGCAGGGGTCGATATGATGTAAGACTGTAATTTTTTTTAAAATATTGTTCTCTTTGCTCGGTTTTGGTGTTTCTGGGTTTTTTGATATTAGACCGAATATTGAAGGAGAAATGTATTCCGATTGAATTTGGTCGCAATTTCGGTCCATGGAGAGGGTGGGGGAGGATATCATTATCAGCTGTGTTGTAAGTTGTAACTGTTGTCAAGCTTATAATAAAAGGATTAAGCCATGGAAACAGAGGATATTAATTTGTATCCGGACATTATATTATCATAGTTATTTATGGTGAAGCAAAGGCTCCAAGTGGAAAATGACGAAATTGGTTTTAAGTTGATAAAACATTGTCTGTCGCTTTGGCCGAGTGGTTAAGGCGTGTGCCTGCTAAGTACATGGGGTTTCCCCGCGAGAGTTCGAATCTCTCAGGCGACGACAGCCTCTTTTTTTTTTTTTTAATTTAAATTCTCATATATAACCTATTTAGCAATCTCTCACTTAAAAAGTACAAAGATTCAATTTCGAACCGCATAAATTATTTTATTTCTTCGGAGATGTAATAATTTACTTTTTTATTTTCAGGATATTACGATTGGCCTAATTTTCGTGAAAAATAAACCTCAACTCAACAACTGCTGTTTTCTAAGGAAAAAAAAAGGAAAGAAAGAAGAAAGGTCGTGCATTTATTGGTCGTAAAAAAAAAGTCGTTTTTTTTTTCAAATGGTGTTTTGCGGGAAGGAGCGTTCTCTCTCGTTATTCGATGCACGAAATCGAGCCACTGAACAATATAATATTAAATATTATTATAACATTATTATCGACCTATTAAAATAATATTATAAAATTTTCTAGTTTAATAATACATCCTATACAAAAATAATGTAAAAGAGAAACAGTTCTAAACTTTTAAATGCTAATTTAGTTATATATGCTCTACCCTTTTTTGTTGTACAAAATATAAAATATCGAGAGAAGCATCACAAAAGCATGAATTCGATCAGAATTCGTCATGGTATATTTGAGACGGTCCAAATCTCGTCATGTAATATTCTTATAACAAAAAAGTAAAAAAAAAAGAGCAACCAAAAGTAGAACACCTTCCTTCGTGAATGGTGATTCGTGTTTTTTTAAAGTGGCATAAAGACAAAAACAGAGAGCCACCATTAATGGCTTTCACCGATATGAACAAGACAAGGACACAACCATCTCCGTCTCCTGCCTCCTCCGATTACCGTGTCTGTATATAATCCCTGCTTCTCCCCCCCCCCCGCC